GCTTGTGTGGGTTAGTTGAGGGTCAGTGCTGTCTCTGTTTGGCTGTGCAGTTGATTTGGATTCTGAAGGGTTCATAGGCTGGTTGTAGGTCAAAGTGTCTGTTAATGGAATTGCTTGTGGAATGCCAGGCTTCGATGAGCTAACGAGCTTGGTGGGTGGTAGCATGGTCGATAATAAAGCAGTCATGCCCAATATGAACAAATTTCCCATTCTGCTCCCATTCTTCTTGGGTGAAGCCAGTTCCATCGACCTGCACCCATCACAAGGTGTTGAATAAACTTTGCATTTACAATAATGTTTCCTTCAACAACATTAACCCACCATTCCTGAGTACCCCTGAAGACAACGAGCCAGGAGTCTCATCTTCCCCCTCTTCTAAACCATATGCTAAACCAAAATTGGGAAGTTTGCAGATGGTCCACCATCTGTGCTGATGAATTCTTGTGGGACTGGTAAATTGGAGGAATCTGGATGGTTGCACTGGACTAGACAATCTTTGTGTGTTCTATCTTGCCCCTTTCCAAAAAGAGACCAGTTGTAAAAATTTTCAACAGGTGCTGGGATGAAGGCCACGTTGTGCATCATCTACACCCTGTTCAATTCTCAGGTTTGGAATAGCATCAGTAACACCATAATAAAATTGGAATATGTGGATAAGCATATATATGCACATGTGTGCTAGTACATTTGGCAGAAGGAGACAACCGGAATACATTTGTATTTTGCGTATACTCAGTCAATTTCTCTCTCTCTCCACATACTGCCACCACATCCCAAGGAGAGGCTCACGTGCTATTGGGCCACTGTAACTTTACTAACAAAAATGGACCATATTTACAGAAGGACGAAGTAAGTAATTTCATACCTCCTTAACTCTGTATGTAGGTTTTAGGCACATAGCTAGGCAAGCATCCTTCGTCATTGTGTGCAACCTTGTGGTTTGTCCAGCTCAAATGAGTCGGAGAGGCGAAGGGTGTAACAACGTTGTGAGCACACAACACTGAGTCACTCCTGCTCTCGATTTGTATGTTTTTTAAAAAATTAAAGCCTCGAGAAACCATTGTGATTTGAAAGCTAGGTCATTAATCATCTCAGTATGTCGTATAATTGGAAAAAAAACCACTGAATCTGCAGAAACCATCTTCATTTTAGTTTATATTTTGCCTCTGGGTAACTCTTTCAATGTTTTATTTATAGGACTGGAGTTAGTTAATTTGTATTGCATAGCATTTGAGGGGGGGGGACTCTTCTGCAACCCTTTGGGTTCTGCAGAACCCATTTCAACCAGCTAATGAGCTTGGGTGGCGCACTGTTGTGAACATTAAATTACAGTAGCAGGGAAGCTGCTGTGATAACTACTTTCTTCACCCTCTTGGGCATCCATAGTATAACCTAAATGTGTCACTTGCTTATTCTTTCATGCAAATCTATTACATGCTGCAGCATGAAAGGGGAACTAATATAAAATCCTCTAATACGCCCTGAATCTTGTTGCTTTCCTCACAAATTCATTGTTGTTCTAGCCCCTTGCATGATTATCAAAAGGAGACCCTCCCCCAAATCCAGAGACATAAAAGCTAGACTGCATTTCTTCATGTATGGCTTATAGTTTTGAATGATATTATGCTATGATATTGATGTTTGACTCATGCTCAGAGTACATTACTGACCCTGTAGTACTAGCCCATGAACTAAGTGAATGAAATGGTTTGGGCTCATCGCTTGAAAAAGGGTGGCAGATGATTCTTTCAAGAAGACTAAATTATATGTCTACCTGGGATCTTCATTGCTAGGTATTCCAGTAATATCAATATAGCACTTAAAGGGCTAAAGAGACTCCCTTGTTGCCATAGTTACAATTAAATCACTTTTTTCTGCCCCAGGAAATGAAAATTATGGTATTAACATCTCCCAAGGTCCACAGTGTTATGCGACAAGATGTTTCAGCAGCTGGAATCTCTGAAGCACAGTGATACTGCTCTCCGCTCTTATTCAATTCAGATTGCTTTGTCTAAATGTTGGTTTGTTTAGATCAGGGGTGGGCAACGATGGCCCTTTTATGACTTGTGAACTTCAACTCAGAATTCGTGAGCCTGCATGGCTGGCTCAGGAATTCTGGGAGTTGAAGTCCACAAATCATAAAAGGGCCATCGTTCCCCACCTCTGGTCTAGATTGATGTGAGACACAAAAGCCTATCAGTTCCTTTTCCAATGCAAATTATGGCACTGAGCCTGTTACGAGGGTGAAGAACATTTTATATAAAATTCTGTAGTCATTTCTGTCATTACATAGCAGGCCTTCTAGATCTAACACGGGAAAAAAATAGATTAGTTCCACTGCTGTTCTGGTAACAAATCTAAAAGCACAATTACATTTTTAAAGGAATTTTAAAGAACTGTTTTCAAGAATAGATTGAGGCCATTGAAATTGGTGGGGCAAAAGCAGGATGATAAATGATAACTGAAGCTAGAGATTATTTTCCTACTTGTGACTTAGCATTTTCTAGAGTCATTCAACTATTGAGGCTTCAAAGTAACAAGAAAAGAGTAATGAGAAAAAGCTGTATATCACTTCGGCAAGAGAAGGAGGATGCTATGAAGATACTTTTAATTCACTATTGGGAAAATGTCCAGAGTTAATGGTAGGTATAGCATCTTAATTCTGGTTGTGGCTTTTATCCTTTTCTGTTATAATGACACCAAGAACGCTTAGTAAATAGCTTTAGCAAGTTATAACAATAGGACTAAACAAAGGTTAACATCATATGAAAGCCAGTTTGGCCTACTAGTTAAGGTGCTGATCTGGAATCCAGGAGACTGTGAATTCTAGTTCTGCTTTAGGCAAGAAAAACTGGCTGGATGACTTCAGGTCAGTCATTTGCTCTTAGCACAATTTACCTCACAGGGTTATTGTTGTGGGGAAAGTATGAGGAGGAGAGAATATTATTCATTTTTAGCACTAGAGTTATTTATAAAAAAATAAAGGCAGGATAAAAATCTAGTTAGTAAGTAAGTAAGTAAGTAAGTAAGTAAGTAAGTAAATAAATAAATAAAAAACACCGCACTGATCTATTTGAAAGACATGAAGCAACAATATTAGCAAAGTCTCCAGTTCTGTCAAAAAGTCAAACAAATCATTATTTTAAAAAAATAATAATAAAGCCTACCTGCTTTCTCCACCAAACTTCCTGTCCTCAGCTGTCTCAGGATTGCAAATTTCAAATAGTATAATCTCTTTCCCAAAAACTTATACTGTACTAATTCTTCCTTTTCCTCAACCACTTTCTATTTGAGGTCCTGTTCAGCTGCATGATTTGATTTTCAGTCACTTTCCTTTCTTCTCCTATAGCTTTCTCTCTACTTCCTGCCAGCCCCAGCCCTTCCATTTTGAATATATTTTTTCAAATATCATCCTGAATTTTGCTTAGTCTTATTTCTCATGGAAAATTGGCTGCTTTAAGTTCCAACAATCAGAGCAAATAATCACACAAATTGTCATGGTATGTGGGAGTGACCTTGTCAGATGGGTGCTTGGTTGGAATGGGTTAAATGATGCTACCTAGACAACGATCAGATAAGAGAGGACATGGGCCACAGCTGCATAATGAGTGGAGAAAGAAACTCAGAAACAAATCTCCCTAATCTCTAGACCCGTGATGACGAACCTATGGCACGCGTGCCTGAAGTGGCACATGGAGCCATGTTGCCTAACACGCTCGGTGTCACCCGTTCCTCTTCCGGATTTCTGGCATGCATGTGCATGCGATGATCAGCTGGCCTTTGTGTGTGCGGCAATGCTGGAAACCGGAAGAGCTGGTCTTCTGTTTTCTGGTGTGAGCATGCGCACTAGCCAGTGGATCAGTGTGTGTGCATGCGCGGCAGTAACTGGAAGACTTGCTGGCCGGCAAACCGGAAGTATCTTATTCAGTGCACGTATGCCCCCTGGAAAACTCCTCTTCCTGGTCGTGGCCCCAAGAAGCGCGTGCATGAAGTGCTCCCTTTTCAGCACTTGGTGTTACGCACATGCACACTCCCTTTTCGGCACTTGGTGCGGAAAAGGTTTGCCATTAATGCTCTAGACTGTAAAACAGATGGAGGGAGATTTATACTTTCAGACGTGCAAGTTTCTGTTAATGTAGCCTTCTAATAAAGCAGAATTAACTCATTTGATCCTGTCTGCTCTACCTGAGAAGGCTGACATCAATCTTACAAGTACCAATCTCCTGTCTCCCAAGGTCATTTCTGCATACCATACATAAATGGCATAAAACTATTAGGGGCATTATAGAGCAAGGCTACCCAAACACAAACAGCTATGAGCTGATGGGCTTCTTGCAGCGGTGAAATCTCCCTGGTTCTATCCAGCTCGCCAAACCGGTAGTTCCAGTGGTGGGAGGCTACGTCCACTCACCTGAATGTCATTACATCCCATTTTTTAACCATCTGCGCATGCGCAGAATGTTTTTTGCATGCGCAGAAGAGGTGCGCATGCACATAGTGTGCGTGTACTCCCACTTGGGAGTGTACCCAAACCAGAAGCGAAGGTAAGTGGATTTCACCGCTGCTTCTTTGACTCAGTGAGGGCAGAATCAAGGAACGTCCCTTCCAGAAAAGAGGGAAGAGGAATTTTTTATACAGAGTTGGGGACAAAAGGGAAAAATGAAGATGATGTGCATACAGTGCAGTTATGGGAATGCCCAAACAAGCAAATATATAAGGACTGGCTGCTTACGCAGAAAATCTGGGAGGGAAGTTGGAGCAGGAAAAGCAGGGTGACATTTGGAAGACCCCCAAATTTAAAGCTGATTTGTTGATAGAATGTTTTGGACCTTCTAGTTTACAAAGGAAAATTATTACTGAGTGTTTTGTTTCTGTGATGCTTCCAAGCATTTTATTCCTTAATGGGGGTGCTAACAGCAATTTGACTAGTCAAGAATAGGTCAGGCAGTTCTTTGAATCCCACAGACTAAGGAAGCAATCCATGTGGTCTTCATGCTTACCTTTGGGACCAAGTCCCATGAGCTCTTGAATTCAGGGCGTATTCCAGTTCAAAACGGCTACGCAAAGCAGCAACATGGCTGCGTCCGGGGCATCCCCGAGTGAGTAGGCAGTCTGACGAGGAGGATGGTGACAAGGAACCACTGCTGTTGCTGGAGGCTGGTGACATCAGCTGGATATAAGGAAGAGGACATTATTAGTACCTATTTCTGACAACCCCAAAGTCCTGTTAGAAAGGCTGTTATCCCTCCTATGTGTCATAGATGCTTTTGATAATGTCCTCAGCTATTTCCATTGATGGTGTCATGCTAGTTTTTCATTGTCCGATGGAGGATGGCCTTTGTAATCTGGGACTGTGAAAAACTTTTGCTGTATGTTTTTTTGATCCAAAGATTTAAGTCTTCTCTCTTATTACACATATAGAGTATAAATCAGTTTTCTTTGATCAGCTTTTTTTAAAAAGTATGGTTTCTTTGTGATGGACATAACAGTATTGCTATATTTATTACTGGAATGAGATCATTTCCCATATCATCTTATAGCAATATATTTAAAAGCAATGACTTCAGTTTATTGGATAGCTGGAAAGTGTATGGCAATTGCATCACACAAGAGTGAGCCAAATCATTAGAATAGGCAATACCAAATGTTGATATATAAATAAAATAATAGAGCTGCAACTTTTTAATGCTTAAGTTAATACTAGCAATGTCATGTGAAGTTTCTTCTGTAGGGATGAGAAAACGTAATTATTATTTTAAAAATTTTTGCCATCTACCAACTTAATTTTATGTAAAGTTAATCAAAATGAAAGAAACTCTCAATTTAACAGAATAGTGGGATGGGTGTCTGTTAAATCTAAATGTACGATGAATTGGAAGGGAATTGGTTCTATGTGTAAAATGGTGTTAAATGCATGATAAAGTGTGAAATGGGATTTTACACAAGGATAAAATAGCTTTATGTATGTATAAAGTAGTAAATGGAATTTTACTCATGTATAAAACAACATTTGACATGTGCATTACACCTGAGAAAGGCAATGCTCTAGATCAGAGGTCTTCAAACTTGGCAGCTTTTAAGACTTGTGGACTTCAACTCCCTGATCTAGATAGTATAGCACTAAAGGGAGGAAGGTATGTGTATGGGTGTGTATAAAATTTACTTATTACTCATTTCTTAAAAAATAAGAAGGAAAAAGTGCATGCAAAAAGGAAAACACAGTTGGTACAGAAATTTAATATCAATAAGTAGATAAAGAAATTAATGAGATTGTATAGTTATAGCTCAGTAACAATTGATGAGAAATTGATGAAAAACTCCAAAGTATGTTAAATTATTTTAACAATGTGAAAAAGGATTTGTACTTCTGAGTTGAGTGCTGAAATCTCTACTCTTTGTTATATAACAATATAGAAAGAAAGAATTTAACTATTATAAATATTAGTTTCCAAATTCCCTTTTGTTATACTCTGACAGGAGAAAGGAATTAATTGCATAGAATATGCCACTTTCTGCTAGATGCTTAATAGACAGGAGAGATTAAAATGCTTTTGTGGTGTACATCAGCCTAGTGTGCACCCAAAGTCATAGTCACTGTTAAATAAGAGAGGTTAGAGTAGTTTTATTGGATGTTATTTTATTAATAGATCTTATTTTTTCATTACTTTTATTTATTACATATTTTTATTATATAAATTATAAATAAGAATTTCTTTACTTTTATTATTATTTATTTATAATAATAAGGTGGTGCAATGGTTAGAATGTAGTATTGCAGGCTAACCCTGCTCACAGCTGGGAGTTTGATCCTGACAGGCACCAAGTTGACTCAGTCTTCCATCCTTCTGAGGTTGGTAAAATAAGGACCCAGATTGTTGGGGGATAATATGCTGACTCTGTAAACCACTCACAGAATGCTATAAAGCACTATAGGGCACTATGTAGATCTAAGTGCTATTGCTATTTATTGGATGCTATTTGGCTGGTTGTTTGAAAACCCGATAGTATTTTGGAGTGTGGGTTGCTCCTAGACAAGATGCATCCTCTATGGAGCACTTGGAGGACTCTCATGCCCAAACATTGAAGCAAGATGTTATAATATTATTTATACAAAGTGTATGTGATCCAAAACCATACTTCTTGATTACAATCACTATTTATAAGATATGATTACCCATCTAACACATGCAGGTTTGGGGATGCCTGTTCATTGTTTGTTCTGGAACTATAAATATTTTGCTTCCAGTCACCCCAAAACCAGTCATTTTCATCTCCCAATGATGGGATTTAAGTAGACATTTAAGTGAATACAAGGCAATTCATAACCCATTGGGTCTTCCTTTCGGAGATATTGCCTTACTTTAACAGGGAAACTAAATGACCATAGTAAATAAAAGTAGTGGGAGTGGGAGTGATTTCTGACTTCCAGCTTGTGTTGCTTGTAGGAAGCTGACAGGGAGGTATCAGAAATCACTCCTTCTCTTTGGATGAGCCACAGAACTGCCTGCCAGTTTGCTGGGTGAGTGGGGGAAGAGTGAGGCACTGCAAGAAAAACTGCATCCCCATTCCCCATTCTGGCACGTCTCCAAGAGGAAGGTATAGGGAAGGTGCTGAACAAGTCATGAAAGGTGCACAGGATGCTTGAGAGGTGCCACATGATGCGAGGAGGGCACACAGGATTGCAGCATGAGTCGGGAAGGTGGCAGGGTATATTTATGTAAGCAAGAGCTGTCAAACAGATTGGAGAGGATGTAAGCGGTCTGGCGCAGGTCAGGAAGGGTGCGTGTGGTATGCTTTGGTATGTGAAAGATGCTGTGCTGGCCAAGGAGAATGTATGGGCTTGGGGTGAGGTTGGTGAGGGTTTAGAGGTCTGCAACATGGGTCAGGAATGATACGCAGGAATGTGCAAGTGGCTGGCATAGCATGAGCACAGAGGGGATGGGGAGGTAGCACAGGTGGAGGGAGCATTACCTGATCAACTTGAGAGCTTCTTTGAAGTCTTCCCTATTGCTGACGCTCCCTGCTAGCTTCCCATAGTGAAAGATTTCGCTGGCAGGGAACATCAGCAATCATAGCCAAGCTTACACATCCTGCTGGCTTCCCCACCGACTTGTGGGAAGCTGGCAGAGAATAATGGAAATGACGATCATATGACTGTGGCTGACTATGGCAGTACTGAAGTAGCAACAGCACAGTGGCAATGAAGCAGCCACAACTTTCCTACTAAGTATTATTGCCATGGGAGTAATGGGTCCCATAATTCTGTAAATTAGTCATTTGAGCTACCTTCATTCAAAAATTGTTGCCTTGTGATGCACTGTTTCAGCCAATGGAAGGTTACAGATGAATGGACACAACAGAGTTAGTACTATATAGTTTCAGTCTAGATAACACATACATGACCACAAACTTCCAGATAATTACACTACAGCATGAATAGAGCAATTTTCTTTTCATTGGAACTGATATCATTTACTCTACCATCCACAGGGCAAAGAATTGTAATTTGCACTTTTTTTTATTAAAAAGATAATTTTATAGTGAAAACCTGTTTATTTTATTTTTAAAAAAATTCCACTTAATGTCAAAACATGACTGCCTAAGCAGGAAAATCACTGAATATAGCCTCTTTCCTACATTATTAAAAAGATTCTGTAGGGTGGCAATAATGGATAATTTAATTTTTATGCTTGTATACCGGAAGGAAATTTCTCAAATATAGACAAAAAACACATCCAAGAACTAGCATAAAACTGCTACACTATGACACGACATTTATTTTTTAGAAGCAATATCAAAAATCACATTTCATTTTCTGAAAAGAAAAGGGAGACACAAATCCAAAGAATCTTCATGCCTCAGTCCACATGACTGACTAAGATTCTGCTTAACACCCCTTTATGTGAGTTTGGAACTCCATCTTGCATTCTTTTGTTAACATAATCCCTGGCTAGCTGAATATTGCTCCTATTTTGCCTTGAAATGAGGTACATCTCAAGGTGAGGTGTAATATGCAAGGGTCCCTCTCAAAGTCAGTTAAAACTCAAAAGGGGGTTAAATAGGGGTGCATTTTGGCCCTCCTGCTTTTCAACTTTTACATAAATGACATGGTAAAATGGCTAAACAAATCAAATCACCCCCCACCCCACCCCAAATAGGTGACTGAAGCATCGCCCTCCTGCTATATGCAGATGACGTTGTGATCCTCTCCAGGACACCAGTAGGCCTTGAAAGAGCCTTGCGAGCCCTTCTTCAGTACTGTAATTACAATAAACTGGACATAAATATGAAAAAACAAAGATCCTGGCCTTTGCAAAAAGGCCAAAACTTTATTCATGGTTTCTAAATGGCCACAAAATAGAGCAAATACCTGGGGGTGATCATTCAGGCAATGGTTAAAGAAAAGCACCTGGAGAATATGCGGCTGCCTTGGGCCAAAGATCAGCGAGCACCAATCTTATTTTTTTCCACACAAAGGGAGGATACTATGGCCCTGCTGCTATTAAGCTTTTTGTGGCCAAGTCGCTAGAACAGCTCCTTTATGGGACCTTGCTCAGACCATCAGCTTCATGTTTTACATCATTAGAAATAGTTCAATCCAAATTCATTAGAGCAATTCTCCAGATGCCACGTTGTGTCTCAAATGCACTTCTGCGCCTGGAGTCAGGATTGATAAAAGTCGAAGTAAGAATCTGTATAGCGTCCTTAAATCTCTGGCTAAAGCTTAACTTCTTTCCGCAAGGTCTTGCTCTGTTAATCCTCCAAGACAAATTCTCTTCATCATGAATCAAGGCTGTCGAGTCCAACCTTGCCAAATTAGGCTTCTCCCCAGCTTTAACACTCAAGATGGACTATGATCTAGCAAGACAAACCTTGCGACAAAGGGTGGAGAACATTGAGAGGCAGGCGGACTTAGGGAAAGCTCTGCTGTTTCTGGCTCCAGATGCCATTAGATGTGTGGTTGCTCCTGCCAGATATCTGAGTCAGTTGGAATCAGCAAGCCACCAGAAAGCATTTGCACTTGCACGGTGCCATGCGCTTCCATCGGCCATTCTGTATGGCAAGTATAAAAGGATACCATTCACAGAAAGACTCTGTCCCTGCGGCTCAGGAGAGGTGGGAACTGTGGATCACATGCTGCTTAGATGTTCCTTTTATACGAAGATTAGG